AACTGCCACTTAGAGATCTTTCTCAGACAGAGGATTCTGTGTTTGAATTTAACCACTGGAATTTGCTCCTTAGGTTATGCAGAACCCAAAATAAGTAAGTAGAATGACTTTTGGATTATTTTCAGTACTGTAATAACGATTTCCATTGTTTATCAACTGACTGTTGCATCCTCTGAGATGTCCCTACCCTGTTTACTGCCGGTCCAGCCAAGGTTTATGGGCAAACCCTTCTCTTAAAACCTTGTACTCTCTTTTTCTGCATTGGTGGAAACATATGGTTGTCTTTGTCCAATGAAATTTTGCCTGAGAGAAAAACTTGAATACCAGCTCCATAGAGAAATCAGCTCTTTCAAATAGTCCTTGAGACCATGAGCTCTGATGGAGATAACACACAAGGAAAATGAAGGGGAAGTTGAGCTGCTTTCTTCTTACCTGGGAGTATTGTGTATGTAGAGTCTGATTTATTTTTTTCCCATGTCTGTTGTGTTTGGGAAAGGGACTTGACTGTGTTATAGTTCATGAAGTACATTGTAAGCTTTGGAAACACATCTGAGAGTGCAGGTAGCTCTGCTTTTGAATAGATGGACTCGTGACATTTTAAAATACTCTACTTTTGAATTGTTAAGTAGTTCTGAATGCCATCCTTATTTGTCAAATGTGGTGTGCAGGATCTTTATCCTCAGTTAAGAATCTTTGAACTAAGGGAACATTTATGCAGGTGCTGATTTCCTAATCTCTGTGGGGTTTTGCTGTTTGCTAATAGGGAGATGAATTCTAAGAAGGTAAATTCTATCTTCTGCCCAATGGCCTAGGGAAGCAGATCTCAGTTTCAGCAGCAATTTGTCAGTTCATTAAGAGATGCAGTATCCTGGCTTCTTGGGTGATAGTTTTGCTAGGCTCCAAGGAGCATTGGTAAAGTCTGATTTCATGACTACCAGGGTATGGCCAGGTCAGAATGGAAACACTCATGTAGAGAAGCTCTGTCCAGACAGTGTTTTGAATGGCTGGAGCAAGTCAGAGGCTTCTGTGCTCCTCTGGGTACTTCCATACAAACTTTCAGCATTCATGGAAGCAGAGCTTTAGGACTGGAATACTCTTAAACATCTTGTGTGGGAATTTTGTGGACTTTAGACTACTATAGTTAAGGTCACATCTTCACATGTGAGTATCTAAAATATGTGGAAATACAGATTTTCATAATGATTTTCAACTTTGGTTCCTCTGTCAGAATGATGATTGTAGTATTGTTGTACTTAAGAGGGCTATTAGAAATAATATGCGTTACCTAAGCACCATAAATGGAAATTGTAGTACAATGAAACACAGTTCTTTACAATCCATAAATCTCAGATGTGTATTTGTTTTGTCTTACGGATTTCTAGGTGGGCTTTGTCCACACAGTCCATCAACTTATAATCTTTTCTCTGTGGCCTCACTCAGTTCTCCCCTCTACCTTTATCTGGAACTCACCCAAAACTCCAATCTGGAAGGAGGAAGGATTCCAGGGATATAGATACACAAGATATAGCAGTGCCTAAACGGCCTTTTGCTGCAAGTTCCTTCTGCCTGTGCTGGGAGCCAGCTCTGTCTGGAAAGCTGGGCAGCTGCAGAGCAGCTCAGCCTGCTACTGAAAACCAGAGCAGATATAGCCACTCCAAGTACAGGAGTGCCCAGAAACCAGGTGGGTAAAATATTAGTGATCTGAGTTATTTAGCTGGATCACAGGATCAGGACTCAGTACGTTTGTGAGTGTCTGTAGGAAATGTTTTCTAATTGCTTCTGAGTGGAGTTGAGGAAGGTTCTCTATGCAGTAATGTGGAACTTACCTTAAATGTGAGTGTGTAGGGGAAGAATAAATTTGGGCAGTTATATTTTTTGCCAGTTTGCTATCAGTTGCCAAGATACAACTTCAAATGATGAGTCTTACATGAAACACAAGTAGAAAGCAGATTACCATCTTGATCTTAATCAACTTTTTTTTTCATCACTTTTTCTTAACTGTACTTAGTGTTTCATGGGCAACAGTGAACAACTTTTACTCTCAACTCTGCCCAGCAATTCCAAGAGACTGGAGAGGCAGAAGATTTCTCACCTGGCCCTCACCACCTAACCATGGTGTTTCTCAGTCAAGCATAAATTGTATTATTCTCAAGATTTCCTTTCTGACTGTGATTCTTATTTTGTGAGGTAATTTCAAAGTAGTGGAAGACTTTGGGGAATGTGAGTAATGCACAGCGCTTATGACACAGCCTGGGCACTGCCCTTTGTGATGCACAGCTCTAGGAACTGTACCAAATGGTTCATTTTGTTGACTTTGTGTCACAGAGTTTATCAGGAAAGGTTTGTAATGTTACACAAACATGTGCCTCTTCCTCCTCTCTCCAGGTATTTTACAAGATCAGCTCAAAAGAATGGGCTGTATCTGTACCATGCTCAACTGTGTCTTAAAATTACGTTAATATTTTAACAGGTGATTGTTTCCTATTCTTTTACATTCTCATCTATATACAAATAGCATGTTGTAGCCCTCATTAATCAAAATGACACTTTCTACAGCCTCAAGTGTTTTCACATTTGCACATGAAGCGTGTTCCCAAAACTCTGTGCTGCCTGATTGATCTCTGCATTGTGCACTTTTCAGACCTATGTGTCTCAAGCTGTCTGAAAAGATACAAAGCTTAACTTCTAATGTGATTTCTTTAATCTCCTTTTGTAGAATTAGAATTACAAACCATGTAGAAAGTCTTGCAAAGTTCACTTTTTGCATGAAGCTTGGCACAGGCACGAAGGACCACATCCCATCTTACACTGGAAAACACACTGCTGGCTGCCCAAAGAAGTGTTAGGAGACACTGCTGTTTTGGAAAAGGGTGTAAGAGAAATAAGGCTGTTAAAAAGTGAGGAAAGCAAAACATCCTCCAGGGCATAGACTTGCCCCACTGACTGCTCAGACATGGCTCATTCCAGGACTCCTCTTTCAACAAGTGCCACAGAACAGACATTAGCTGGTGGTCACATCCAAGAGGAGGATTTACATTCAATAACTTGTCTGCTGGTAACAGCACAGATGACTACTCAAGACTTCCATACATGTATATAGAAACCAGACCAAGACTGCCTGAGGGAATGGAAGTGGCAGAAAGTCTTTCCTAGGCATCAAGAACTATGGAGCAGATAGAAAACTCGCATTCATCCTGTTCTTTAGTGTACATCCCAAAGGCTGGGGGGACAGGTGTTTATGCAGGGTCTGGAGAGGAACTGGAGTTTAATACTCTCTTTGAAATATTTCATTTGGGTTCAGGAGTGTCTGAGGCACCACTAGGTCCCCACAGAAAAGTGTCATTATCTGACACTTTTTCTGCCCACATGGCATGTGTGAAACACAGCCAGTTTTACAGCAGTTCGTATGGAGGATTTATTGACTGAAGACTCTTAAAGAATTTGCAGAATTTCCTTTACTTTTTTTTAATGGTCTGAGCATGGATATTCCTCTTGTCTGGCTTAGTTCTTTCCTAAAAGCCTGTCTGAAAATTTTAGTAAAAGAAATAAAAATACTGTAAAAATAAGTATCAACATGAAAGGGGGGGGGGGGGGAATGTTGCCCTCTCCATAGCCAGAAGTAAAAAGCATAGGTAGAGCAGCAGAATTCGAGGAAAAATACTTACTACTCAGTAAAGTTTTATTCACCTTTCTCAATTTTTATGTTCTTGTCCTAGAACAGACAGTTATTTTATGTCACCTTTCTGGTCTAAGGTCTCTAAGAGAAGATAATCTAGTTTTAGGGTGAGAAGTGCACAGCTTGAGCAGAAGCAGCATGTACCATTTCTTGTTTTGAGCGTGGACCCAAGCATTATATGCATGAGAGAATACATGTGCCTCAACCTATGCTGATGTTCCTAGGGAGCAGAGGGGAGGGGGGTGATTTAGGGCTGAGCTTATCAGGGTTAGAAACCACGGCTTTTCAGGTTGTCATTTACTGATATTAATGAGTAGTGGTCGAAGCACTTGCCTTATGACTGTTTTGTAAGTTGCACTGGTTTGACAGGACTTGCCCTGCCCGTAGCCTTTCAGAAGACGTGAAGCTCACCTAGGAGTGTGGGGTTGGTTTTGGCAGCCAAAAGTGTAATTAAAGTTTCACCCGCATGTATCTGGCTAACAGAGCCCGGCCAATGCAAACCTCCCGTCTGCCGCCGGCAGCCCCAAGGCCGCGTGTGCTGAGTTTTCACAGCAGCGCCCGATGGGCGGCACTAATCCCGTGTGCGATCCCCGCCCGGCTCCGGCTGGGCTGTGCCTCGCACACCATGAGCCGCCCGCAGGGACTCGCCGGCAGGACTTTGGGCGCCTCCCTGTTGCTCGCCCTTGCGAGCGGCACGCCGGAAGATGCTGCGGTGCTTTGCCGGAGGTGCGAAGCCGCTCGCTCCGGCCCGTAGGGCGGCGGCGATGCGGGCGGCAGGCGGCGGCCAGGCGCGATGTGAGAAAGTTTTCCGGTGCCCGAGGGCGACTTCCACGCGTGAGCGGCGGGGGCTGGCGGGGCCGCCGGGCGCGTTCCGGTCGCGCCGCGCTCTGCGGGCGCCGAAGCCGCGCCGCGTCCGCGGGGGCCGGGCCGGGGGGAAGGGGCGTTGCCATCTGCTGTTAATTCCGCGGTCATTGGATTAGTAACCAGCGGTGATGAGATCAGCGGGATCGGCTTTCGCGAGGGGGCACGGCGCTCCCCAGCTGTGCCGGCTCTCGCATGAGGCGGCGGCGGGCAGCCCAGGGGCAGGCAGCGCGCACAAAGCCCGGTAGCCGCCGCAGGCCGCCGCCCCCGGGCACGGCTCCCGGGCGGCCCGGCCGCCCCGAGCCCGGCAGCCGCCCGCGGCTCCTCTCGCCCCCCCGGGGCAGCGCGGGCAGCCGGCGGCGGGGAGCAGCCTTTGCCGGGCGGGCGCGCTCCGGGCGGGGGGCGCGGGCTCCCAGCGCGCCGAGCTCGGCCACGGCGGCTCCCGAGTTTGTTTACTTGTGCTTCGCGTCCCCTCCCCGGTATCTCTTCTCTGCCGGCATAGCGGATCGGTGGCGGTGCCGTGCTGGGGGTTTATGGTAAGTTTGCGATGGGCGAATCCCTCAGTTCGTGGGAATTCGGTGTTTTGTTGCACAGTACAAGACGCGTTTGGGGGGGGGGTCTTGTTTGGTTGGGCTTTTTTTAGTAGTGCTGGGTTTCAAGCTGGTGTTCAAAGAAATACACTTGCGAACCGTTTTCTGCTTTATAATGAAGTGGTTTACAATAGAAATTAGTTTCCTGAGCTGTGTAAGAGGATTTTTTTCTAGATGTTGGATAACTAGAGATCTACGTTTCTCGTAAACTGAGCGTATCTGACTTTGCGCTGCCGGACGCAAACCGTTGTGCCACAATGATTCCCACCAGCCAGTGTTTTACAGTGATTACTTGATGCCTTTTCGGGCAGTAAAAGCCAGACCTCATTTTAGGTGTTTAGGCTAATCTGAAATACTTCTCCGTAAGAGTAAGAGGGCAGCTGAACCTTCGTCAAGAGAAACCTGAATTTGTATGCGAGACTTGAGTTTCAACAAAGAAAGGTATTGACTGAATTTGCCGTCACATTACTTTTAAGAGCTCGGAGCCAGGCAGTGGGTTTGCTGTCGCTGTTGGGAAGCTCTTCCTGCCGAGGGACCCAGGGCAGGGGAGCTGAACGCTGCCCTCGCAGCCCCATTCGTTCCTGGAGGGGCTCCGGCGTTGATGTGGCAGCGTCCGTGCTGGCAGCAAGTCACTTTTTTTTCTTTGTGCCTAGGACTTGGAGTGTAAACTGCTACAGGGTGGGAAGTGTCCTATATAGAGAGATGGCCAGCTACCACTTCAGCTGCTGGCTTGATGCTGGCTACAGCCCTTCGGTGCTTAAGTCATACCTGGTATTTTCACAGTGCTCTGTTTGCCTTCCGGTGACAGAAGCAATCCCTGATAAGATATCTCCACGCTGCAAAAGAGCTTATCAGGAGGAAAAAAAAAACAGTCCCCGAGAGTTGATGCTTGTGGCTGAAACTGGCCTGACTTCTGCAGTGTAACTCGAAGGATGCTACATTTTTAATGTTGTTTCTGTAACTAAAGCAGCCCGTCGGGGACATGAATATCAAATTGCTGTTCGATTATTTGGTGCTGCTGACAGAGAAATGCCAGATACTGTACGTTCTCCTACCAACAACTAGAAGTTTTATAGCTGGCCTTAGTCATGTAAGTCTGGTTTCCTTGGTAGCTAATGTGCCTCGGTGTCTTGCTGCTGACTCGGGATGTCCTTGGATGACCGTCCTGTGCTTCAGTGACCCTGCCAGGGCTGAAGGGACACTCGGTACTTCCCTGCACCACCAGGATGAGAGAACTTCCCAGCTCCGTGCCTTCCTGAGGCCCTCGTGTGGGTGTTGCTCTGGCAGTACACACTGGTGCTGCTGGGCTCCGAGAACCCTGTGTTTGCTCCCATCCCATCGGCCTGTTTGTCTTTGCAAATGTCACTGCAGCCAGCTCTGAAGCGCTGGGCTTCCTGCTCAACAGGCTCTGGGGCTTCGGACTGAGAAAGCAGTGCCACCTTTTTGCAAGGAGCTTTTTGGAGTTGTGAGACTTCTGCTTTTTTGGGGGAGGGTTTTGTTTTTGTTGTTGTGTTTGGGGGTTTTGGTTTGTTGTTTGTTTGTTTGTTTTGGTTTTTTGGAGAGGTTGTTTATGGTGGGATTTTTTGTTTTGGTTGAGGTTTTGGGGGTTTTTTTAAGAGAAGCATAAACCCCCTATGGGAAGTACTATTTGGATATCTTGTTTTTTGAAAGAACCAAAACTTCTGATTTTTGGTTTGACCAAATTACAGTCATCTTTATGATTCATGTTCGTGTAGCGTAGGAGTTTCTGAATGATGGGCCATCTCTCCTATGACTCTACACACAGCAAGTCATTAACTTCTCAGGCTTCATTGTTGATGTGCAATCTTTTCTAATGGGTTTTCCATGTACCAAGAAAATTCAAGGCAGCTATTTTTGTCTCGTTTTCCTTCACAATCTCTGTTTTCCTGTCTTCTGTTTATAGGATACTGATCTCTTTTTATGGAGAAGGAAATTAATTTTCACAGTGGCACTCAATGACATGTCACAGGACTCCATGTGATGGTTACTTTGCGATGGCTTCTTTTAATTGGGACAACTGGAGAGTTTTCCTATGAGGAGCTGATTTGCTTACACATTTGAGACATAGTGACAGCAATTGAGGTAGAAGGCATTACATGATTTTCTGAGATACTATTGTTAAAAATTCTTGGCTAAAGTGATTAGCAGGATCATGCTAGATACTCAACTGTCCCATCCCGGTAATTCTTCACGGCCAAGTAGAGGAAGGCAGAAGGAGGGATGCCTTATTCAAATTCTGTAAGCCATGCTGTGTTTTAGCTGTCTGCTCTCTTCAGTCTGCTTGGCTGCTCACTTACTGCTGCACTGACATCATCTGCTCAATTCTTTCTGTGCTGGGGCAGCTTCACTTCAGTGTAAACTTGAGGCTCTCGCAGTGGTAAATCCCAGGTTGAGTAATGGTAATGCAGAGCGGCCTTGATACTCACATCTATTTCCTGCATCACTTAGTGAGGATAAATGCATTGTTCTTAATATAATATCCATATAAAGGAAATCTAGATGTATTTTCTTCTCAGCAGGTTTCCCAGGAGAGAGGATGGATGTAAATGTTGCACAAATCCTCTCTGAAGACTGAGGTGAGACTGATGGTAGAGAGGAGTGGAGGCTGGTACTGCTGGGTGCCCGCCTTCCTGGCACCGTCCAGAAAGCCAAGCTGGGCTTGTGGCTCCAGAGATGAAGGGTCCATGCTGACAGAGCTCTGGATGGATGGATGCAGTCCATCTGAGCTATGTCCATGTGGTATGCACCTTGAGGCTCGTGGAGATGCAGGCCACACACGTTGTCCTGGGAATTTTAAGTATTTATTAAGCCAGGATAGATCCATTTTCTGTGATGAAGGCATTGGTTAAACCTGACCACTGAACAGTTAACCAGTTTTTGAAAACAGAACTCTCTGTAAAGTTTCCATGTATGGATAAATATTTGCTTGTAATTCTGGAAATTGGTGTTGTTGGACTGACTGAAAATCAACAAGTGCTGCGGATTGAAACTTGCCAGATCAGATAGCTGCCTCACCCACTGTATTTTTACTGGGGCTGTGTGCATGTTGGTGAATCTGTGTCACTCTCTGCAGTGCACACAACCTTTGGGAATGACTTTAGGCTGTTAGCTGACATAGGTTGTGCTGTAGAATAAGATGTTAATGCATCCCGTGCCTCCTGGAAGAGCAGTTAATGTCTTCTGACTCCTTTAACTTCAGTCAGCTCAGGCTCAGGTTGTTTGTGGGGGTTGGTTTTTGCTTTTTGCCTTGAAAAGGTGTGTGTGCATCACTGCCACTGTTGCTGGGCTGTGTACTGCTCATGTACTGGGGAGTGCTGCTCCAGAAGGGCTGAACGCAGCTTCACTGATAACTAACGTTCCCAAAGAACAGCAGATGTCTTTTTGTGCTACAGTGTCCGAGTTGCTGTTGTTTGAAGGCAGCAGTGTAGTGTACTTGACCTGTGCTCCCTCAAGAGTTAAAGTATCTGAAATGGTGGATGCTGTCTGAATCCTGCTTTCAGGTGAAGTTTGCAATGATGTCAGGAAATGCCTTTTCCTCAGTTGCTTGTACAGCTCTACAGCCCACAGCCATTTAGATTGGATGGTGATAAAAGTCAGTTTTAGTTAGGTTTTTTTTGTGCTTAGAAAGCTGGCAATATACTCAGTAGCATTCACAGCCTATCAGGGAAAAACCCTTGCCCAGAAGAGATTTAACAGTGTGCTCCAGTGGCCTTGGTGGCAGCATGGAAAAATGTGTAAAGGAGAGCTAGAAAATGTGAGTTATGTTTTTTGGTAGCAGTCCTGGTTTAGAGAGATCAGTACTCGCAAGGTGCCATGACTTTGGGCTAAGAACTGCCATTTGACTGGCAGTAATTGATTAAAACTTGATGTTCTTTTTCGGCTGCCACTGCTCTATTAAAGACTGGCTTATCAAGAGTGCTGGGCAGAGCTCACCACTTTCCTCCTTTAGCTCCTTTTCCAGCAGAAAGGGAGTAGTGTCAGGTACTAGCCTGTTGAAATGCACATATGTGTATGTTTGTATTTTTTTGGGGCTGTCTTTTTTTAAGTGGATGTCACCTTTGCCTTGGAGGTCAGTGTGGTGCAGAAATTTAATTTCTGTAGCAATTGAAATGCAGAAATTTTACGTAATTTGCTGTGGTTTGGCCATAGCAAAGAAACATGCAAGAAGAATTTTTATCTATTTCCATCCTTAGTAAGAGGTGAGCTGCCTGGATTTAAACATGGGTGCTCTGTGATATAAATCTGTTCGTGCTGAAGTAATTTGAACTCAGAGCAATGCTGAGCAGTATTCTGTATAATTTTTTGCTTCCCTGCTTATTTTGTGTATCTTTGGATTGAACATTGTGGGGTAATCCTGCTCATGACTAGTGTCAGATGACAAGTTTTATTGTGTTGCATTGCAGAGTGTGGTGACTTAGCAACTTTATCTTTGAGGATTTGTCAGAGGCTGAAGGGACAAGTAAGCTTTGGTGTGCAGCTTGAAATGCAGCAGGGTAGAAAATCTGTGTTGGAGCTGATTGCTAGCTAATTCTTTCAGAGCTGTACAGCAGACTCTTTAGATGAGTTTGATTTCTTGATTTAGACATGCGTTTCCAAAAGCTCGTTCTTGTACTGCCTTTCTTATGCTACCCTGTTGTTGAAGTCTGGTGTTTGCTTGTCTGCTGTTGTGCCTTTCTGTGGTAACAACTCCTAAGGAAAATTCTGCCAAGAGATTTTGAGAAAAAGATCAATTGTATTTACAGTGTCTCATCAGAAGAATGAGGATATGCTGCCTGCAGAAATGGGTCCATGCCTTGGGACCTAACCATGGCCCAGACTGCAGGAGCTCAACTTTGTGAGAGGGTGAGGTCAGTACCTAGAGTTCAAGCTCCATCTGCACCTCACAGCAGCAGTCTCATGTAGCCTTTGTTTAAAAGGGTGTTTCT